ATATTCTTGGTTCTTTCGGAAAAAGTCACGTAAAATTGGAAACAATAAAATAATAAAAATATAAAACAATAGAAATTCTCACGACGTTTCGACTGCAACGCAAGGAATCATCATCAGGTGTGAAAACCACAGCAAGAAAATTTGAAAAAAGTGGCGGGTTTTCTTTTTTAACGTTAGCACCACGGAGAGCGATTTGGCAGTTATTCAGATGGACGAGTCCATCTATGTTCGGAAAATAGGAGGGGGGAGACGAAAATAATGGATGCGGTCTGATGTTAATGATGATGCAGTTTGTTTTTGCTCCGATCTCTCTTTGCTTCAGTGCCGTTACTTTATATCAATTTTGCTTTTGTCACTTGGGTGACAACCCAGGGTTTGCAAATTCGCAAATTCGACTCTCTCGTGGTCTCTCTGTCACCCTCGTTAAGCAAATTGGACACTGGGAAGTACGTTTCTATGTAGGGTATCTCTGTGTTTCTATACGTAAAGTATGTCTATGGGATCTCTCTGTATCATATGGATACCTACGTATCTCTTTGGATATCTATGTATCTCTCTGGGTCTCTATGTATCTATATGGGTCTCTACGTATATTTAAGGGTATCTATGTATCTTTATGGGTGCCTATGCATCTCTATGTATGTCTCTGTATCTTTAAGGGTATCTATGATCTCTAAAGTATCTCTATGCATCTCTCTGTATCTCTTTGGGTCTCTATGTATTGCTCTGCATCTCTCTGTGTCTCTATGGGTCTCTATGTATCTCTAAGGGTCTCCATGTGTCTCTAAGGGTATCGATGTATCTATATGGGTCTCAATGTATCTCTAAGCGTCCTGAAAGCAGAAGAATAAGCAGCCAGTGGTCGATTAAAGTTTGCTCCTGGATTCCCAGGACCCGCCACCGCTTCCCATCACCCACCCCACCCCACCATGTGCGTCCCATCGGACGATCGCTGTCCAATGGGTGATGGCGTTTTTTGACAGTTTTGCGCGGGTGGAAAGTGAGGGAGGGGCTTGTCTGCCAGCCCACGGCGGCCAGGAGATGTTAACTACCTCGCCTGGTGTGCACAAGGTCGTGGGTTCGATCCCGACCCTGACGATGCCTGCTGTACTTTTGGAGTCTGCCTGTCTCCCTGTGTCTCATCATCATCACGGTGGCTAGGAGATGTTAACTACCTCGCCTGGCGTGCACAAGGTCGTGGGTTCGATCCCGACCCTGACGATGCCTGCTGCTGTATATTTGGAGTCTGCCTGTCTCCCTGTGTCTCATCATCATCACGGTGGCTAGGAGATGTTAACTACCTCGCCTTGTGTGCGGAAGGTCGTGGGTTCCATCCCGACCCTGACGATGCCTGCTGCTGCTGTATATTTGGAGTCTGCGTCTCTCTCTCTCAAATCATCGTGACGGTGGCTAGGAGATGTTAACTACCTCGCCTCTCTCCGTGGATGCGTGGATCGACCATTCGTGATGGCCGGGTTTGCTTCCAAGGAAAAAAATTTAGCAGCTCAGTGGCGATGCCTTACTGCTTGGTGAAATAACCAACAGTCCTCGCAATTGTCTAGTCGAGTCTTCCCAAGGCTATCCGGTAGCCCCCGTGCCCTCGGCAGCAGCAAGTCGACCTGACGGGGGTTCGATGGTCGAGGTGCAGGACCGTCCCTAACCCCGCCCATAGGAACGGTGGAGCACAGCGCTTAGGGGTGTGTGAGTGGAGGTCTTCTTTAAACCTCCATGTGAGCTCGCGACGAGAGGCTCAGCGTGCCGGGGGTGTTATCCCCGCGGGCGCGGCGGTGGCAGGGGGTGGGGTGTGGCGGTGCGGGGGGGGGGGGGAGGTGGATGTGGATGTGGAGGAGATGGGAGAGCCGTGCCCACAGATTCACGGATGCTGCATCGATGCGGTGGTGGTAGTGGTGGTGGAGGGGGGTTGGGGGTACACAGGGCTTTGGGTCGGCGGGCCGCGCACGTGCGTGAGTCCGGGCGTGCGGGCGGACGGGGTGAGACCAGGCGCTGGTGGAGTGGGGTGGTGGGTGGGTGGTGGGTGGTGGGTGGGGAGGAGAGCGGCAAGCTCGTGGCAAAGCGCTCCAGAAGCGGAAAGCGGCCGGTAAAGGAAAGCAGCAATTAAAGCAGTTGGGAGGCCCCTTTTTTTTTTGGCGAAACGAAAACAAAAGAGAGGGGGGAGTAGGTGAATAAATAGTGGGAGGGGGCAAAATGCGAACGAAAAAGCGAATCGAGGCTATGCCACGACCGGCTCCCCACCTCCCCCCCCCCCCCCCCCCCCCCCCCCCCCCCCCGGAACCACTTAAAGTCGCCAAGACAACTATCTAACCGCACAGAGAGGTGGTTATGGTTTAGGCCAATCTACCAGGCCGGCTAGTTACAACTTGAACCAGTTCACTCTCCAGGGCATGGTGTAAATAATTAGTCGACCGACTGGACTGGCTAGGCCTTCCACCACTGGCATGCCGAGCGCTAACTATGGCTTGACCAGTTTCCCACCTTGGACGGTTAGGCCCTCAAATAGGTTTTGCCGTCTTAACCGGCTGCAACCCTAAGCCCAGCTGAACTACCTAGGCCTTAACTCAGCTTTAACAGTTTGCCCGCCAAATCTACTGCGACGTCAAAGTGCTTTTTTTTTTCCCACGGAAGAGACTCTTAAGCCGGTGCCTCAGGCCCACTGGCTTTAACCGGCAGGCTGCCGCCACTGCCGCCGCCGCTGCTGCTGCTGCTGCAAGACTCGGGTTGTGAAATCGCCCCCCTCCCCACAGAGCTCGCAGAGTTGTAAGCGGCGTGAGAATGGCACGGGCCACAAACGCCGCCCTTGCTTTACCGCCTAGGCCTAGCTAGGGCCTCTGCCCACTTTAACCACTGCTCACAGTGCCAAGTTTCGTGCAAGTGGGGGGGGGGCGGGGGGTGGGGGTGGGTGGGTGGTTGGTGAGTATTTGGAAAGGGGTGGGGGTGGGGGTGCCGGGGGGGGGGGGGGGGAGAGTGGGGTGGGGGGCGCGGGGGGGGGGGGAGTGGGGGAGTGGGTGGGTGGAGCACCACCTCCCACGGGTGGTGCACCACCAACCTGTCGCGAGCGATCTAAAGGCGACCGGTAAACACGGGCGGCGTGGCAGCGGAGCGCGGTTTTTTGTTGCCCGCTAGGGGCGGCACGGGCGGCTACGGACGGCACGGACGAGAGGTGTCTGGAGTGGAGCCACCCTGCGTTCCGCTCCCACCCAGCGCCTCGAATCTCGAACTCTCTCTCTCGCTCTCTCTCGCTCGCTCGCCCGCCCGCCCGGCCGCCCCGGCCGCTCACTTCGCGGCCGCCGACTCCGTCGCCCCGGTCGCTCGTTCGCTGGCAGCGGCCGCGAAAGCGGTTTTTTTTTTCCTTCCTTCCTTCCTTCCGCGCCGCGCGATTTCACGGCAAGGCCCCCGGAGTCGCTGTCGCGCCGTCGTCAGTTCGCATCGCGGGGTCCAGGGGCAAGCCGAAAGCCAACAACAGCCTCCTTCCCCTCTGGCCACGACAGTCCCGGTCGGTGGGCTCAGAGAGTCTGTTGAGGTGTGTGTGGCCCCCTCCTACCCACCCTCCCCCTCCCCCTCCTTACCCCCCCCCCCCCGCCCCCCCCCCCCTCCCGACCACAACCGAATAAGCTTTTGTGAAAAATCTGACATTTTGTCGCGGGTTAGAGAATGTTCCGGCCCCCATGCTCAACTCACCGTACGGGGAAAAGGGGGGAGGCGGAGGGGGGGCGGTGGCACTATCTGGTCCGCGGGGCATGGTCGGTGAGGCGAGTGGGGGGAGAGGATTCTGTGGGCAGTGTGGTGGTGGGGGGAGGCTGGGGGTGCCCGTGTAAATGCGGAGGGGCGATGTGGAGCCTCCGGGAGGTGCGTGAGCGTTCGCTCGAAATTGCTCGGCCAGACGCCGCCTGATGAGGCGTGGCACACCTCTCAGTGTCGTCGGGTGGTCAGGGGGAAACGTGTGCCACTGTCGCGGAGGATGGTGGGAGAAGGAGACTTTAAAATGCATCGTGCCGCTGTTGCTGCTGCTGCTGCTGCTGCAGTTGTTGTTGTTGTTACATAGCTTGCCAACAAAAATCGGGACGCTTTCGCGTGCTCGGAGAGACTCGCGGGATCTCGCTGCCTCGCCCAACTGGAGGACGGTGCTGGGAAGACCAGGATAGGTGGAACTCCTAACGAGGCTGGCAAAAACGCATGGGCATGTGCTGGGCAGTGGGCAGTGGGCGAACTGCATAGCTGTGAACCCGTACGGTTTACCAGTTATTCTTGTACAGGGAAATTGAGTTTTCAGCCGTTTCAAATATACGGGCAAATAAAGCATAAGTTTTCGTCTATCTGTTTGTGTTTCTCCACTTCGTGATGGTGACTTTGTAGGATGAACGTTGAGATTCGTAAGGGGCACGGGGGGTGACCAATAAGGCCTGAATTCGCCTGTAACAAGGCAGGGCAACTGAGGAAGGGGTTGACAGCTATGGAGCCGTCGGGAGCGGGCCAGGAGGCCGCCCGCTCCGCGCGGCGTCTCGAGCGGTACGAGTGGGCGTTGGCAGGGCGGGACCGTGGACGACCGAACGAGGGGAGTGGCGGGTTTCCGGTTCACCGTGCTGCCCCCTTTCGCGAGACATTTGATACCTTTTGGGGAAAACGGTGACCGCTACGGACAAGGGCAGATGGGCTGGGGGGGGGGGGGGCGGTGCGTGTGTGGGGGGGAGGAGGAGTCTTTGCTGGCTTTGCACAAGTGATTATTGCCTATCCGAGCACCCGAGCAACCACGAGCCTGAGGCCTTCATTCGTACGCGAAGAATCTCGCTCAATCGCTCGCTCGCCGTTCGCTCTCCTCGCTCGCCCCTCCCCCCCCCCTCCCCATTCATCGCCCCCCACCCAACCCGGCGCCCTTCGTCTTATCCGCCCCCTCCAACACCCCCAACGTGTACCGAGCGCCCCGCCCCGCCCCGCCCCGGCCCCGCCCCCGGCCCCGGCCCCGGCCCCCGGCCGCCAGAACTCACCATCCTCCGTGGGCACGTAGACGTTCAGGAAGAGGCAGTCCTCGCTCTGCTCCAGCAGGTGGCTCGCCACCACCTCGGCGTTGGAGGTGAACCACACGGGCAGCATGACCTCGAGCAGCACCCCCTGGACGTTCTGCGGGCAGACGGGCGCGAAGCGCGTCGCGTTGCGCGTCTGCTGCCACGAGGCCGGGGGCTCGGGTGGCTGGAAGCGCCGCTCGCCGACCGGGGCGGCCGCGTATGGCACGCCCAGGTACTGGTTGACGGGCCCCAGGATCTCGTTGACGAGGTTGACTCGAGTGCCCCGCAGCTTGCCGTAGCTCGTCTGGATGACGGGCGCCTCCTGGCCGGGCGAGGCCCCGTGCGCCGGCCCGCCGCCGCCGCCGCCGAGGCCGAGGCTCCCGCTCGCCGCCAGGTCCAGCAGCAGCAGCGCCAGCGTCGGCAGCAGCCGCGGCCGCGGCCGCCGACCCGGCCTCGCGCGAGACGCAATCCGCAGCATCGTCGGCGGGCTTCGCGAGGGCGGTTCCCGTGAAGGGCGGAGCCCGTGCCCTTCGTTGTTGATTGTCCACGCTGCTCGCTAAATCGGCCGCCCGCTCGGCCGCCCGCTCAGCCGCTCGCCCCCGGCCAGGGCCACAGAGGCGGCCGAGAGGTCAACGCCGCAGCGCGCGGGCCGGACGGTCGCTGGTGGCTGCGCGCGTCCGCTTCGCGAGGTCATCGAGAGGGGGGCCCCCAGCCTACGTGAAAAAGCCACTGCGAGCGATGGCGCCGATCGAGCGAGGGGCACGTGGAGGTGTGGGAGGCGGGAGGAGGGAGGAGGGAGGAGGAGGAGGAGGAGGAGGAGGAGGAGGGAGGAGGAGGAGGAGGATGTTGACGTGACGTCGGGTATTTCGACTCGATCCCGACGGCGGAGAGAGCCGAGACCCCCCTCGAGCTTTGAACGTCGCCTTATTTCGTGTTGCTCTTCCCGCTCGTCGTGCTCCTCGGCGATTTCAAAACTCGTTATTTTATTTCCCCAAACCCGCCGGCCCCGGGTGATGACAGCCCCTTGACATGCACGGGAGGGAGAATTAAAAGAGAAAAAAAAAAAGGCCTGGCCGTTATGAAACTCCCGCCACGGTCCTCGCAGAATATCTGACAGCGAAGGGATATTGGGGCAGGAATTTGGAACTTTGAGATTGCTTGGGGGGGGGTGGGGGAGGGGGCGGGGTAGGGGGGAGGGGTGGTGAAAACCCCCGCTATGGCCCACGTGGGTCAGCAGTTAAAAGTGCGACCGACAAAACATTGAATTGGTGGGAAAATTCTCTCCCCAGCCCCCCGCGTGCTACGCGTGCGTTGGAGGTGTTGGGTTGGGGTGGGTGGCGCTCAGGGGTCTCACCCGGCCACCTGCGTCTTCGTGAAAGTCCAATCGGGCCGCGGGGGCATTCCGGTGAAAGAAAATTACTCGAACGGGATTGACGAATTTCGCTCAGGCCTTCCACGAAACCTGGCATCGCCGTTCCGTCGTCGGTTTTTGCCCCACAAACCCCCCCATCCCATCCCCCCCCCTCCCCCTCCTTTAGATCCGATGCACGGCGTTACATCTAAATTAAAAAAAAAAAAACCGTGAAAAAACCCGACGCCGACGAAGACGCGCGGACAAATCCGGCACGCGTTCGTCACCCCCCCCCCAGAAACCGACCCGAAGCTATATAAGGAAAGCCGAGGCTTCCCGTTGCCCTGTTAGGCCCGGCAGGCTTCGGCCTCGAGGCAAGGGCTCTCGGCTCACTCGCGCACCAGTTCGGAAGTGAAGCTTGAACGCTTGCCGAGGGAACGGCGATCGGACGTTTTCGTCACAGGCCTACGACGGCATTGCGCAGTGAAGGACTAACGTCACAGGAGGGGAGGAGGAGGAGGAGGAGGAGAAGGAGGAGGAGGAGGATTGGGGGTGGGGGGAAAATGGCCACCGTCTATTCCACGCGACGAAATATTGGCGCTTCTGTGAGTGCCAAGCAGTGGGGGTGCGCATGGGGGTGGTTCGAGACGTCGGCTTCTCAGTCTGGTGGGCCAGCCGAGGTGGTCAGGCTGTGCGAGGTCCTATCCGATCTTCACACCGTTGGGCGACAATCCTGGAGGTGAGAGGCAGAATGCGGAAGGGCCAAGGTCACGATCAGTGTCAGCTCCAATGCCTGGCTCCAATCTCGAGTGCGTCCGAGGAGGTAAGCGCAACGTCCCGGGAGTTGATGCCCGTCCGTGGCTGAGTGAGTGGGTGGGCGAGTGAGTGGGCGAGCGGGTGGGCGAGCGGGTGGGCGAGTGGGTGGGCGAGTGGGTGCGCGAGTGGGTGGGCGAGCGGGTGGGCGAGCGGGTGGGCGAGTGAGTGGGCGAGTAAGTGCGCGAGTGAGTGGGCGAGTGAGTGGGTGAGTGCATGGGCGAGTGAGTGGGCGAGTGGGTGGGCGAGCGGGTGGGCGAGTGGGTGGGTGAGTGAGTGGGCGAGTGAGTGGGTGAGTGAGTGGGCGAGTGGGTGGGCGAGTGGGTGGGCGAGTGAATGGGCGAGTGAGTGGGCGAGTGGGTGGGCGAGCGGGTGGGCGAGCGGGTGGGTGAGTGAGTGTGCGAGTGAGTGGGCGAGTGAGTGGGCGATTGAGTGGGCGAGTGGGTGCGCGAGTGGGTGGGCGAGTGAGTGGGCGAGTGAGTGCGCGAGTGAGTGGGCGAGTGAGTGGGCGAGTGAATGGGCGAGTGAGTGGGCGAGTGAGTGGGCGATTGAATTGGCGAGTGAATGGGTGAGTGAGTGGGCGAGTGAATGGTCGAGTGAGCTGGCGAGTGAATGGGCGAGTGAGTGGGCGAGTGAATGGGCGAGTGATTGGGCGAGTGAGTGAGTGAGTGAATGGGCGAGTGAGTGGGCGAGTGAATGGGCGAGTGAATGGTCAAGCGAATGGGCGAGTGAATGGGCGAGTGAGTGGGCGAGTGATTGGGCGAGCGAGCGGGCGAGTGAATGGGCGAGCGAGCGGGCGAGTTGCTGAGTGACTTGGCAAACGGATGTTTGGACGAATGAGCTTGAGGATGAGTGAAACGAATAGGCTGAGAGGGGGGGTGGAGGGTCAGTGAATAAGTGAGTGAATGGGTGGTAATGTCACCACCTGTATCCACCATAGACAAAACCCAGGCAAGATTTCTCTATCAGAGCAAGGTTTCTATCTGCTACAATTATGAAGCTCAGCGCAGTGCCATTCACCCACAAACTCACTCGCCCATCCACTCAGGCAGCCGCTCGAATCGTCACGTGTCCAGAAATCAGGGGCTGTGTGGTCGGGAGGCAGGAGTCGATTGGTACCTAGTTTTCTTTGTGGCCAGCATCGCTGAGTGAGTGAGAGGTTTTACGGTCTGCAGTGAAATATGTGGCGCGAAACAAACCACTCACTCACTCACCCAATGAGTCACTCACTCAGTCACTTACTCAGTCACTCACTCACTCAGTCACTCACTCAGTCACTCACTCACTCACTCACCCAATGAGTCATTCAATCAGTCACTCACTCAGTCACTCACCCAATGAGTCATTCAATCAGTCACTCACTCAGTCACTCACTCACTCAACCAATGAGTCATTCAATCAGTTACTCACTCACTCACTCAGTCACTCACTCAGTCACTCACTCACTCACCCAATGAGTCATTCAATCAGTCACTCACTCAGTCACTCACTCACCCAATGAGTCATTCAATCAGTCACTCACTCAGTCACTCACTCACTCACTCAACCAATGAGTCATTCAATCAGTTACTCACTCACTCACTCAGTCACTCACTCAGTCACTCACTCACTCACCCAATGAGTCATTCAATCAGTCACTCACTCAGTCACTCACTCAGTCACTCACTCACTCAGTCACTCACTTACTCACTCAGTCAGTCGCTCACTCACCCAATGAGTCATTCAATCAGTCGCTCACTCAGTCACTCATCCATTTGGCAATCAGTAATTCGCGCACTCACCGACCCACTCTGCCTGAGTCTCTCTGTTTGAGTCTGTGGTGATCTCTGTGTGAGGCACTCTGTGTGAGGATCTCTGTGTGAGTCTGTGGGATCTTTGTGTGAGTCTCTCTGTGTGAGTCTCTATGTGTGAGCCTCGCAGTGTGAGTCTCTGTGTGAGTCTCTCTGTGTGAGTCTCTCTGTATGTGAGTCTCTCTGAGTGAGTCTCTCTTTGTGAGTCTCTCTGTGTGAGTGTGTGTGTGAGTCTGTGTGAGTTTCTCTGTGTGAGTCTCTGTGTGAGTCTCTCTGTGTGTGAGTCTCTCTGTGTGAGTCTCTCTGTGTGAGTCTCTGTGTGAATCTCTCTGCGTGTGAGTCTCTCTGTGTGAGTTTCTCTGTGAGTCTCTCTGTGTGAGTCTTTCTGTGTGTGTCTCTCTGTGTGAGTCTCTCTGTGTGAGTCTCTCCGTGTGAGTCTCTGTGTGAATCTCTCTGCGTGTGAGTCTCTCTGTGTGAGTTTCTCTGTGAGTCTCTCTGTGTGAGTCTTTCTGTGTATGTCTCTCTGTGTGAGTCTCTCTGTGTGAGTCTCTCCGTGTGAGTCTCTGTGTGAGTCTCTCTCTGTGAGTCTCTATCTGTGGGTCTCTCTCTGTGAGTCTATCTGTATGAGTCTCTGTGTGTGAGTCTCTCTATGTGAGTCTCTCTGTGTGTTTCTCTCTGTGTGAGTCTCTCTGTGTGAGTCTCTCTGTGAGTCTCTGTGTGAGTCTCTCTGTGAGTCTCTGTGTGAGTCTCTGTGTGAGTCTCTCTGTGTGAGTCTCTCTCTGTGTGAGTCTGTCTGTGTGAGTCTCTCTGTGTGTGAGTCTCTCTGTGTGAGTCTCTCTGTGAGTCTCTGTGTGAGTCTCTGTGTGAGTCTCTCTGTGTGTGAGTCTCTCCGTGTGAGTCTCTGTGTGAGTCTCTCTGTGTGAGTCTCTCTGTGTGAGTCTCTCTCTGTGTGAGTCTGTCTGTGTGAGGCTCTCTGTGTGTGAGTCTCTCTGTGTGAGTCTCTCTTTGTGAGTCTCTCTGTGTGAGTGTGTGTGTGAGTCTGTGTGAGTCTCTGTGTGAATCTCTCTGCGTGTGAGTCTCTCTGTGAGTCTCTCTGTGTGTGTCTCTCTGTGTGAGTCTTTCTGTGTGTTTCTCTGTGTGAGTCTCTCTGTGTGAGTCTCTCCGTGTGAGTCTCTGTGTAAGTCTCTCTCTGTGAGTCTCTATCTGTGAGTCACTCTCTGTGAGTCTATCTGTGTGAGTCTCTGTGTGTGAGTCTCTCTATGTGAGACTCTCTGTGTGTTTCTCTCTGTGTGATTCTCTCTGTGTGAGTCTCTCTGTGAGTCTCTGTGTGAGTCTCTCTGTGTGAGTCTCTCTGTGAGTCTCTCCGTGTGAGTCTCTGTGTGAGTCTCTCTGTGTGAGTCTCTCTCTGTGTGAGTCTGTCTGTGTGAGTCTCTCTGTGTGAGTCTCTCTGTGTGAGGCTCTCTCTGTGTGAGTCTGTCTTTGTGAGTCTCTCTGTGTGTGAGTCTCTATGTGTTAGTCTCTCTGTGAGTCTCTGTGAGTCTCTGTGTGAGTCTCTCTGTGTGTGAGTCTCTCTGTGTGAGTCTCTGTGTGAGTCTGTCTGTGTGAGTCTCTCTGTGTGTGAGTCTCTCTGTGTGAGTCTTTCTCTGTGAGTCTCTGTGTGAGTCGGTCTGTGTGAGTCTCTCTGTGTGTAAGTCTCTCTGTGTGAGTCTCTCTGTGTGTGAGTCTCTCTGTGTGAGTCTCTGTGTGAGTCTGTCTGTGTGAGTCTCTCTGTGTGTGAGTCTCTCTGTGTGAGTCTCTCTCTGTGAGTCTCTCTGTGTGTGAGTCTCTCTGTGTGAGTCTCTCTCTGTGAGTCTCTGTGTGAGTCTCTGTGTGAGTCTCTCTGTGTGAGTCTCTCTCTGTGAGTCTCTGTGTGAGTCTCTCTGTGTGTGAGTCTCTCTGTGTGAGTCTCTCTGTGAGTCTCTGTGTGAGTCTCTGTGTGAGTCTCTCTGTGTGAGTCTCTCTCTGTGAGTCTCTGTGTGAGTCTCTGTGTGAGTCTCTCTGGGAACCAGGATTTGAAGTTGCGACATTCCCGACTCTCTTCAGCAGATGGAGCTCTCTGTATTCCTGGCTGATTGGCGTTTTATTGTTTGACCTCCTACTCCTCCTATTCCTCCTCCTATTACTCCTACTCCTCCTATTCCTCAAATTCCTCCCCCCCCCCCCCCCCCCCCCCCCCCCCCCCCCCCCCCCCCATTCATACTCATATTCCTCCTGCTCATCCTCCTACCCTTTCTATTCCTCCTCCTATTCATCCTCCCATCCCTTCTATTCTTACTATCCCTCTTTCTCGTCGCATTCCTTCTCCTATTCCTCCTATTCCTGCTCCTACTCCTGCTCCTATTCCTGCTCCTATTCCTGCTCCTACTCCTGCTCCTATTCCTGCTCCTACTCCTGCTCCTATTCCTGCTCCTACTCCTGCTCCTATTCCTGCTCCTATTCCTGCTCCTATTCCTGCTCCTATTCCGGCTCCTATTCCTGCTCCTATTCCTCCTACTCCTGCTCCTGCTCCTATTCCTGCTCCTATTCCTGCTCCTATTCCTGCTCCTATTTCTGTTCCTATTCCTGCTCCTATTCCTCCTACTCCTGATCCTACTCCTGATCCTACTCCTGCTCCTACTCCTGCTCCTATTCCTGATCCTACTCCTGCTCCTACTCCTCCTATTCCTGATCCTACTCCTGCTCTTATCCCTCCTATTCCTACTCCTATTCCTGCTCCTATTCCTCCTACTCCTGATCCTACTCCTGATCCTACTCCTGCTCCTACTCCTGCTCCTACTCCTGCTCCTATTCCTGATCCTATTCCTCCTACTCCAGCTTCCCACCCACCGCCCGCTCTCCCCGCCATCTCTGTGCCAGCATCGCCTCTCGGCGCAATCAATCAGCCTCGCTCTGATTGGATGCCGCATCCCCCACCCCACCCACCACCCCCCCACCCACTACCCCCCACCACCACCCCCCCACCACCCCCCCACTCCATCCACCTCCCCCCTACCACCCCCTACCCCCCATCCACGCCCCGCCCCTCGCCCTCCTCATCGGCATTCCAGGCAGCGCCTCCTCCACGCAGAGCGAGACAGACCACACCACATGG